AACTCTAAGATGCTGTTGTGATGTGCACATAATTGTGACATTGTTGGGTGTGGCCATCTCATTACTGAAAAGTGGGTCATGATCTTCATATCTCTTAGTGACAGTGGTCGTGGTATTCACATAACCTCCCATTGTGTTGGTGGCATCCTCACACCTCTATAACATGGTCTGTGGTATTCACGTAACCTACACTATTGTTCATAGCTTTCACATGACTTGTTATAACACCACGCTATTTACATAATTCTGCCAAGCTGATCATGGTATTTATGTAACTGTGTGATGGTGGATGTGGTATTTATGTAAGTCCATGACTTTGGTGGTGGCGGTAGTCCCATAACCCTGTGACAAGTGGTCCTGGATATCACCAGTCTGTGATGTTGGTCACTGTATTCACATGTCTGCAGTGTTGATGATTATTTAATTCATATATTTCTGCCACATTGGTCATGGTATCCACATAACCATGATGGTGGTGTTGGTATGTAAATAATTCAGTGGTGTGGTGGTGGTAGGTCCATGTGACTGTGGGATAGTCAGGGTAAAAGCCACATTTTATGGGGAGAGAGACTTAGGCTTACACAAGGTTTGCTTAAAGTCACATAATGAGATATTACAGAGCCAGGCCAAAATTCAGGATTTTGAATAATTCAAATGCAGCCTTTTCTGTATTACACCATGAAGTATCTTCCTGCTAAGTCTAAATTTAAAGGCATTAGTGCAAAGATCTGTATATTTAAACTCCCTGTTGGGTTTGGAACATAAATATTGTATTTTTACCATTCTAGTTGTTTATCTATGGCCTTAGTTGTGTCAATATATTCATACACACACACACATGCACACACATTTTTATGTGAAAAACAAAAAATTTAATAACAAATCCAGATGTGTAAATTGAACTTTTTTTGGTGGAATTTATTATTTCTTTTTAATTTATAAATAATGTTTATTCTATTATGGTTGTCTCTATTTTTCCCCCTTTACCCTCCTCTACCCATTCCACCCCTACTCCCCTTTCCCACAGTCAATTCCCACTCTGTTGTCCATGTCCATGGGTCATTCATACTTGTTCTTTGTCTAGTCCCTTCCCGTTCTTTTCACCATTGTCCTCTTTCCCCATCCCCTCTGGTCACTTTCAGTCTGCTCCATGTTTCCATGCCTGTGGTTTATTTCATTTGTTAGTTTATTTTGTTCAATAGAGTCCACTTATAGGTGAGATCATATGTTATTTGTCTTTCACCAACTGGCTTATTTCACTTAGCTTAATATTCTCCAGTTCCATCCATGTTGTCACAAAAGATAGGAGTTCCATCTCTCTCTCTCTCTCTCTCTTTCTTATATGCAGATTGATTGTATCTATTTAGATGTCAATGTTAATTATAAAATATTACAAAATTTAAAACCATTATAAAGTCTCAGCAATTAAACCAACATGGCACCAGCACAGAAATAATCAAGTGGATCAATGAAATATAATGAGCATTCTAGAAACAAATGTATATATCTAACAATGTAATAATGATTCAATTGATATTTCAAATCAATGGGTAAAATAAGGCTCATTCAACAAATAAGGTGCATGGACCAATATTACTTGAAATAAAACAAATATAGAGCCCTATTTCACACATTATACAAGAAATATTCAGGCGAGTTAAAAATCAATATGTAGAATCTAAGGACTTTCAGGAGAAAATACAAAATTATATTTTTCTTACCCTGAAGTAAAATATTCAAACCCAGAAGCTATAAAGTAAAATATTGACTGTATGACTATATTAAACAGTTAAGATTGTACAGTTATACACATATAAAAAAATTAAAGGACAAGTAATAAAATGGGAAAGTATTTGCAACATGTCTAAAAAAGGGTTAATGTTTTTTTTTAGGGTAAAAATTCTACAAACATTTAATCAAAAAATGGATAAAGAACACCAAAAAGTCATTTAAAGCTTTTTAAAAATAATAGACTGGACAGTTATACACATATAAAAAAATTAAAGGACAAGTAATAAAATGGGAAAGTATTTGCAACACGTCTAAAAAAGGGTTAATTTTTTTTTTAGGGTAAAAATTCTACAAACATTTAATCAAAAAATGGATAAAGAACACCAAAAAGTCATTTAAAGCTTTTTAAAAATAATAGACTGGGCAAGAAATATACAAAAACAGGTTTAGTTTCAACAAATAATAAATCAACAGTTAAAATAACATATTGTCAAAATCAGATTAATGAGTATAAAAATATTGGTAACATCAAGTATTGGCAACTCTGAAAGGAACTGGGTATTGATAGACTCTTTTTCTTCATCTTAAAGCAGTCCCTTTCGCATATTTTGCAGTACTGGTTTGGTGGACATATATCTTTTAGGCTTCTTTTGTCTAGGATACTCCTTATTTCACCTTCCACTTTAATTGAGAGCCTTACTGGGTAGAGCAGTCTTGGTTGCAGGCCTTTGCTTTTCATACTTGGAATATCTCTTGCCACTCCCTTCTGGCTTTCAGTGTTTCTGTTGAGAAGTCAGATGCTAGTGTATCGGGGCTCTCTTATATATTACTATCTGTTTCTCCCTTGCTGCCTTTAGGATTCTCTGTTTGTTTTTGATATTTGCCATTTTAATTATGATGTGTCTTGGAGTGGGCCTCACTGGGTTCCTCTTGAATGGGGCCCTCAGTGCTTCCTGGCCTTCCATGACTTTTTCTCTCCTCAAATTAGCAAAGTTTTCCATCATTACTTTTTCAAACAGGTTTTCTATCCCTTGACCTCTTCTCCTCCTTCTGGTGTCCCTGTTATATGGATATTATTACATTTCAGGTTGCCCAGCACTTCCATCAATGCCTCTTCATTCTATTTGAGTCTTTTTTCATTTTCTTGCTCTTCCTGGGAGCTTTTTTCTACCTTGTCCTCCAGCTTGCTGATTCGACCTCAGCTTCATCAAGTCTGCTTTTGATTCCTTCTACTGTGTTCTTCAATTCAGAAATGGTATTCTTCATGTCCTCTTGTCTCTTAATTGATAGTTTCTATGTCCTTTTCCATGCTGATATAGTTTGCAGTAAGTTCCTCGTAGTTTCCCTGTAGTTTTTTGTAATTCTCTTTGAGCTCACTGGGCTCATTAAGTTTCCTTAGAACTGTTGTTTTGAACTCAATATCTGAGTGTTTACTGGCCTCTATTTCATTTAGTTCTCTTTGTGGGGATTCCTCCTTTCCCTTTGATTGGGAGGTGTTTCTTTGTCTTGCCATTACTTGTGAGACTCTTCTTTTTTGCTTTTGCTTCTTGAATTTATCTGTCTTGATATAATGACTTTGTGGTGTGAACTTTTATGGTAGGAGACCGCTGTTTTTCCTTTCTGGATCTGCCTCTGATGATGTCAGATGTTGTCCCTGTCTGACCTTAGGCAGTTTGTTGGATATTTTCAGGAATCTACTGTCTGTAGCTGCCTCCTTCAGTTGTTAATCTAGTCACTCTGCACTCAGCAGGCTGCCTTAGCTCAGGGCAGGACGGAGTCCCTCCTGGGGGCGGGGTTATTGGGTCCTCTCATGCTGCTGTCATATTGGGGAGGAATCCACACTGGAATCCCGCTGGCTACTGTCTCCATTCTCTCCCCAAAACCTCTGTCCCCAGTCTCTCCTCGTGTCTCCATACCTCTCTGTGCCCCATTTAGCCAGGGATCTACTATCTGTGGCTGCCACTCTGTACTCAGCTGATTGCTTTGACAGCTCAGGGCGGGGTGGAACCCCACCTCGGGGTGGGGGCTTTTGGGTCCTCTTATGCCTCTGCTGCTTAGGGGGAATGGTCTCTACCTGAGCAAGATGGCTGCTGCTGCATGGGGGATGAGTCAGCACCGAGATCCCACCAGCTACTCTCTCAGTTCTCTTCCCAAAGCTTTCTTCCCCATTGTCTCCTCAGGTGTCTCTAGCCCACTCTGCCCTCGCCTTTGCTGGAGACCAGGGTAAGTGGCTGCAAATAAAAATTCATGCATTCGCCCTTCAAATGGTTCTTTGCCTCTCCTGCCACCAGTCTCTGGCCGAGAGCAACCCTGCCGCTTTTTGCAGCTGGCTACTTTCTGTGTACTTTTTGGGTTCTGGTGCTTATAGACTAGAGATCCCCACTTTTGGTTTATACCCAGCTCTTCTCAGGGATCCAACTGGCCATTTTAAGATCCTTCTAGTCCTGCCACCCATGCGCACCCCGCCTGACTTCTTGAGTCTCTACCACACTCCTTATCAGTTAGATTACATTAAAGCTGATTCTTCTGTCTCCGAGGTTATAAGGCTCTTCTCTCGCTATTCATTTGTGTGTTGCAGGTGATTTCTCCACAATTTAGTTGTAATTCCAGGGTGATCCTGGGAGGAGGTCAGTATGACTTCCACTCACTCCTGTGCCATCTTGATTCTCTCTCCGAACTTCTGAAAACTTATGTTAAATAATACCAGGGCTGCCTGGTATACCAAAATAAAGCATCTTTGAGGATAGTGTATAGTTTATTTATAGAATCCAAAGTGTAATTATTAAATAATGAAATGTAATATAGGCTAAAATATTGATATTATAGTGTTTTCTTCCATTGTTTCTTTAAAAATTATATAGCTCTAGAAGCCTTATAAAGGACTGGAAATGTGATGTTGAGATATTGGCATCTGGGTGATTACAAGGTAGATATGTGTTTAAACAATCATTGAATTATCCGTTTAAGATTTCTGTATTTTATGGCACATAAGTTACACCTCAACATGAGTTTTTAAAAATGTATTTATAAATAAAATGAAAATATTAGAGGTTTCAGAAAAGTTGAGTGTAATGCCAATGTAAGCACTCAGGATATTTTCTTATGAGTTATTGCTTTTATAGAAAGAAGACAAAACATCACCATGAGTAGAAAGTTAAATGTGATTTAAGAAATGTGTAAGGCTTCCAGAAATACCCTTGGTTTTGTTAGGAAGTATCTCTTCATTTCAGCTGCCAGGGCTCATGATTTATGTTTTTTTCCCTTTGCAGTACTTGGGGTGCATTGAAGTTCTTCGTTCAATGAGGTCTCTTGACTTCAGTACAAGAACACAAATTACCAGGTAAGCCCTTTTTGAAAATGCACCTATGATTTTACTTAGGAAATGAATAGTTTTAGAAGTTAGTATCCTAGAAATTTCCTGAAAAAAAGGCTGTCCCTTGAGTGTTGGGGACTGGTGACAGGGAGTCAGGACCCACTGTGTTTCAAGACTTATACATGTTTATCCATATTTGTGACATGTATCTCTTGACCTAGCACCCTGAAGGACACTCTCCATTTCCAAGTGCCTTTATAATTAAGCTGTAGACAAATAGATTGTTTATGTTTGCTTTTTTAATAAATCAAACTCTAATACCAGATAGATATTTTAAAATTTGCTGAAGTGCATTCTTTTTACAAAGAAAATCAAGATGTCAGGAGTGATTTCCAACAGTATACACAGAAAATAAAATGCATAGAATGGAAAAAAAATATTAATGGAAGTAGTATTGTAAAGAGCAGAGTAGTTCTTTTAAAGGATCAGTGATTTTGGGCAGGTTTATATATTCTCCATCATCAACCAGATTCTAAAGTTCTTGAGGGCCAGTTCTGTATTTAAGCCTTGTTTTTTTAAATAAAATTTATAGCCTAATGCAGTTTATACATTTAGGTAAAGGCCAATTCAAGCCATCTTGAACAGGAGAAATGGAAAGCTAGGAATGGGTCCATTAAAAAGCTGTTTCTGTGGGTAATGAACTTATGTTGCTTTGGCAGTTGTAAAATTGTTCAGTCTCAATTGTGACCTTGGAAAATGCTTCGTATTTATTTCACTTAAATTACTCTGATGTATTTTTGGGTTAGCAAGCCAAAGTATAAAGATTGAGCTTTAGAAAACAATTATTTGTAGTAATTAGCTGCTAAATGATGGACACACCTCAATCCTGTGTTTCATTTATTTATTTATTTATTTATTTTTGGAGACAGGGGAAGGGAGGGAGAAAGAGAGGGAGAGAAATATCAATGTGTGGTTGCCTCTCGTGCATCCCTTTATGGGGACCTGGCCCACAACCCAGGCATGTGCCCTGACTGAGAAGCAAACCAGCGACTCTTTGGTTCACAGGCCATCACTCAATTCACTGAACCATACCAGCCAGAGCTCAGTTCTGTGTTTTAAGCACTACAAGACACCTGTTCTTTCTCAATGAAGAAATTAGTGGGCAAAAGAGTTGATGTTTGTCTTTTTTCTAAAGCTACCCAGGACACATGTACATGGTGGGGACACACAGACATTCATCACCTATACTAAGGGAAGAATCGATGTCCACATATTTGCAGAAAATGGTTTATGACAGTTGCCAAGGCCAAAGAATGGTATTTTGCAGTGAGAGCATCTAAAAGAAGAGTTAGAATGTTTACCTAGTCGATCATCCTGCCCTCAACAAGGTGTATACAGTGCAATGTCTCTGGGCAGAACACTTTGCCACATGCTTGAGGCAGTACTGGAACCTATGACACTGTTCACCTTCTGTGTGATGGCTGTTGTTTTTAAAGAGAATTGTCAGCTATTTCTACTGAATTCCTTTATAGATACTAGAACTTCTGAGACAATTCATGCTGGCTGTGAATGTGCAGTGTGCTGCCTCACTGAACCTTCCAGGTTTGGGGGAGAAGGATGCATATGCAAATGGCTGAGGGGCATGTGAGGGGCACAGCCACATCCTGCTTCTGGGAGGGTGGTAGGCAGGGGATAAGTGAATAGCCCCAGTGTTCTCTTGGATGAAGGTCTTAGCAGTCTTTTGGGTAGAACCTAAATGGGTAAATGTGACAATAACATTGAAGAAAGCCATGGAACAGACTTCCAGTCCCATTATATTTAGAATGTGCAGCTATGTAATGGGCTGAGTAGAGCACCATTCATGGACACAAGAAAGTTGGTGCTGAATTCTGGTTGTACCAGAATTGCCTTGAGTTTATTAGACTTTTTGAAAAATATGTTTGCTTGTCTCCACAATGCTATCTGTCTCTTGCCTCATTTTTATCTTATGACATGTTTCTTATTTCAGTTGATAGTTGAAGACCATTCATAAGCAGCAATATGACAAATCAATGTCAGAAGCCTTTCATCCAGGAGAAGAAAACTCAGCAATGTTCTCTAGATGTGGCACAGGGTGGAGCTTTCAAGGCCTCCATGGTAACAGAGTGTTAAACATGCCTGGGATTAAACTCTACCACCACGGTTTAATTTAAGGCATTTACTTTAAGGTATACTAAAGACCTTCTTGAAAACTTGTAGGGAAATATAACACTGAATTAAGTTATATTATATAGGTTCTAGGAAAACCTGTTTCCAAAATCCTTAACCATACCTTTTATAAAAAAATATTTTTGTAAACAAATAACCAGTGTTTACTCACCTGTTCCATTATTTCCAGTTTTGGATACATGTGTCTTTTGAAGGTGCTGACAGCTGAACTAAGTGTCCTTTTGTTGGGTCAGTTTAGTTTTATGCTCTCCCTGTGTCTGAGTTCAGATTGATTGTGGTGCTTGCAACAGTACCACTCATGGATTACTGATCTCTTACCAGTAGAAAACTTTAAAAACTACCAAGGGGCTGCCATCGTTGTATGCTTAGTTTAGGATGTGACTGTTAAATACCTTGCACACTAACTCTTTGGGCAGAGAAGCTTGGTGACTTGTTTACACTAATGGTGCCAGCTTTGTGGAGGAGTTGGCCTATATGTGGAGTCCAGCTCTGCCAATTTTTCTCTCAATGGCTGTTGTGAGAAACAGGACAGTTTCTACATCTGATGCTCATAGGACAGGGTCTGGCAGAGAGGTAGACTTGTGTAAGTGTTTCCTCCATCTCATTGCCTGAGCTTGTATTCCGCACAGTAGATACAAGACCCCAGTGTTCAAAGAAGGGAATGTTCGTGAGTATAAGGACAATTGAGGTTGTAGAGATGGTGGTCTCATCCGCTCCTGCTTTTCTGGGTCAGATTGTCAGTGAGGTAGAGAGAGGAGTTGAGAGATACGGTATTTGTGAGAGTTTGCCCAGGGGACAGAGATGTCCTCCAGAAGAAGAAATAGCTTCTGAAGAAGAAAATAGCTTCCTGATATGCCCTTGTTTGCCAAACCCAGTATAACCTTACCACCTAATGTGTCCCTTATCCAGTACAGTTTTGGAATGTGGCATAAAGTGCCTCCCCACACCCTGTAAATTCGCAGTGACATCATTGCACTGTTGCGGGCTATCAGAAATCCCACTGCCGAGAACCATGAAATTTGGCCATTGTAGTGTTTCTCAAACTTGTTCCTCACTGTCACCAGCACTTCATAGTCTGTGAAAACACCATTAGAAACCACCATTCTTCTGCTTGGGTTTTATGCCTTGCTGTGCAGCCCCTGAGGAGTGGGAGGGAGGATCTGTGGTTGATGTTGCTATGGGTGGGTGGGGGCCTCAAGTGGGGAGGACCCAGTTGGGGAACATTCAAAGATGTCTCTCATCCGAATTAGTTCATGGAGATTTCCACATGATATTATGTGGCCAACAATATTGGAAAATCACTGTTCCAGTGCCTGGCCTGACCTGGCTGAGCCTGACTGTCAGACAATCACAACATGCATCCCCCTGAGATGTCCTGTCATGTGACTACTCTCAATTCAAATTGGGCGATTGGTCAAACAGTGTTCTCAGTAAGACGATTGAGGGCTATCTGAACTGACACCTGGAGAGCCGCCTGTTAGGCCGCCCTGCACAGTGATAAAAAGCCCCCAATGAGCCCTTGGTCACTGGCACAACCTTATCTTCTTTTTCTTTTCCTTTGATTTCTTCATCTCATTTTAATTTTATTTATTATGTTAAGTTTTACCTATTATTGGAAGTCATCTTAAACTGCTTTTGGAACATGGACTGCTACAGCCACACACACACACTCACACACACATATACACACAATTAAGCCCACAGCACTCAGCAAGTTGGTCTTTCTCCAATAGTAAATGCAACATCTGACATGTATTTTTGGTTCTAAATGACTCCAGCTGACTTCCTGTACTCCTTGGGAGAGCCAGATAAAGGCCAAATTTGCTTTCCACTCAGGGTTGTAGACATGTGGACTTAGCCATGTGTGGGCTTGCTACACTTCCAGGGTGAGCTCAGCTAGATGTATAATATGTTGCTGAGGGCCCAACATAAACCCAATTTTTCCAAACTGTAGAGAGTGAACAATTGACTCTAATTTAGTTATTTTTGTTTTTATTATTTTAAAAGTAGTCAGAGTTTCAACGGGTATTGAAGACCCTGGTTTGGCCTAGACATTCACTGGCACTGCCCCATGGAGTGGTCCACTCCCCAGCATTACACTTGGCCTAAAACTTTCAAGGATTCCACTTTAGAATTGGTATGTTGTGAACATGTGTAAAATCCCTTTTTGAAAACTAAATCCAAAACCTGTAAAAGAAAAAATCTTTCTTTTGGGAAGCTATCTCCCTTTTCTACTTTATTTCCTTTTTGTAAATATACATTTTATTGATTATGCTATTACAGTTGTCCCATTTTTTTTCTCCCCTTTATTCACCTCCACCATGCACCACCCCTTCCTCCAGCATTCCCCCTGCACTTAGTTCATGTCCATGGATTGTACATATAAGTTCTTTGGCTTCTCCATTTCCTATTCTATTCTTAACCTCCCCGTGTCTATTTTGTACCTACTATTTACCCTTCTTATTCCCTGTACCTTTTCCCCCTTTCCTCTCCCTTCCTCTCCCCTTGATCTCCACTTCTATGATTCTGTTGCTTGTTTTTTTGTTTTGTTTTTGTTTTTAGGTTCAGCTGTTGATCTGAGTTTGTTGTCATTTTACTGTTCATAGTTTTTGATCTTCTTTTTCTTAGATAAGTCTCTTTAACATTTCATACAAGAAGGGCTTGGTGATGATCAACTCCTTTAACTTTACCTTATCTGGGAAGCACTTTATCTACCCTTCCATTCTAAGAATGATAGCTTTGCTGGATAGAGTAATCTTGGATGTAGGTTCTTGCCTTTCATGACTTTGAATACTTCTTGCCAGCCCCTTCTTGCCTGC